AATTCTTTAAAAATCCTACAATGTGATTTTCTGGATTTTTTTTTCTCATTTTGTCTCTCATAGTTGAGGTATACCTATGATGAAAATTACAGGCCTCTCTCATCTTTCTAAGTGGGAGAACTTGCACAATTGGTGGCTGACTAAATACTTTTTTGCCCCACTGTATATACACAGTATGTATGTATATGTATCTACGTATATTCTTATAGCATATTTGATTTATTTATTTGTTATTTTTAATATATCAATGAGATTTCCCACGGTAGTGATAATTTGAAAGATGTGGTTTATGTCACAATGCAATTAAAGAAAATATTTGCAGTTACTAAAACAGGCATCATTATCTTTAAGCAAAATAGAATTTATTGTCTTTGTATTTGACTACAGGTTTATACATCATTCGTGTACAATATTATTTACACTCCAGGGAACTTCAGAGAATACCATAGTATTACCATGGCACATATAGCCTATGTCAATGAAAGATTGCGTGGAATTAAGAATTTGTTCCTATATGACTTATTAATTAATTCCCTCATTTTAGTTAAATCATGAGTTAACTATGGAAGAAATTAATGAAACATGGACTGTGGCCACAAATTAATAAGTCGTAGGAACAAATTAACAAGTTGCAGGAATGAATTATTCTATTATTAATGTATTTATTTATTTATTTTCAGCAGGTCACATGCACCAGTATTCACTTTCGCTTTCCCCGGCAGCTCAACATCCAATGTCTCGCTCGTGCTGAAGATATAATTCGCTTTTCTTACCATTTACAGTGTCGTTTGCTTTGTAATATTGGGAGAAAGCATTAAGATGAGACCAGGGATGAGCCCAATATATGATGGCACAATTATCTTTGTGGGGAAATATAATTAAACTTGACTTATGGTTAGCAACACAATTTCTATTGCTTTCCATGTTGATGGCATTTGTATTGTTTCTATGTAAATGTACTTTTACATTTTGGATCACATTAAAAGCGTAATTTGTACATTGTGTGAATTATTTGTTCAAAAGATCCAGCCGTCACCGTCACGCACAGGTTGCTGCTGCTGTGTTTTGCTCATGAGCCGCACGCACCCCCAAACTAGACTATAGCTTAATCTACCACCAGTGTTGGGGAAAGTTACTTTTAAAAGTAATGCATTACAATATTGCGTTACTCCATAAAAAAGTAACGAATTACGTTACTTTTTATGGAAAGTAATGCGTTACGTTACTTTTGCGCTACTTTTTAAATCTGGACAGGGCTTGCTTGTTTGTTTTTAAAATAAAAAAGTTATATTTTTGGCAAATATAAAAGCCTTTTCATACCGAAAGTGAAATGAATAAGCCTCAGGCTGAAGGGAAAGTACAGTTACGTCCGTACAGTAGAATGCAGAAGAAGACATTTCAACACACTTCAGCAATAAACAAACACACACAAATGTTGTCTGGAGTAATTTGTGCTTATTAGTACGGCTGAACTGAATCATCGAAGCTCAGAAGCAAAGACATTGGTTAATAGAATGGGATTAAATACATAAAGGATATTTGTGTTGTTTAACATTTAATTATTGCAGGTTTGCGTCATATTCTGAGTTGCATTATTTTTATTCATTTTGAGGAATACTGAATCTGTGTGTGTGAGTGAGATGAATTAATGCATATTCATAGTTATTATAGAACTACAGTAACATCTGATTTCTCTCAGCATGGCGACCGGAGAGCTTTCAATCAATAAATTGGAAAAAAACGTAACTTGCGTTACTTATCTGAAAAAGTAACTCAGATATTCTCTTGTAAATTAAAAAGTAATGCGTTACTTTACTAGTTACTTGAAGAAAGTAATCTGATTACGTAACTCGCGTTACTAGTAATATTACCCCCAACACTGTCTACCATAGCTTTAATCGAGTACATGTCTTATCGACAATTAATTGATTGTCGATTAATTGTTAGCATCCCTAATACCACGTCAGAATATGGAAAAGGTAGCCTATTAGGTTAGGATACATACAAATACCAGAAATAACACGCACAAATACACCTGGAAACGATTCATGCTATTGTGACAGATTTTTAAAGCTGAAACTGAATCTCGAGCGACTATGAAAGCTGCATAGAAGTGAAAATAAAGTTGAAAGTGTCTTACCGGTGAGAGCATAAGAGCTGCGATGAAACTCCACACAACGCTCATCTTCGCTGTCTACAGAACGCGACGCGCGACGGTCATGAAGCGATCAAACGCAGCATTCACAGGACTGTATGGAGATAACCCAGGTGTTTACTGTCACGACATGCTACATCGCTCTTCCGTGTGTGAGAGTGCCTGCAGTGTTTGTGTGTGTCACTGTACACGCCACACTCTGCTATGCGTGACTCGCCGCAGCGACGCGACGCGACGCGACTAGAACGCTGCGAACAGTTCAGCGATGCTGAGTGACAGAAGAGCAGCCTTCAGCAAGCGTTCCTCTTCCATCCCAGGAAACATTCCTATTCCAAGTCCAAAGAACCCCTGTTATCTGTATAAAGAAGCGTCACTAATAAACAGCAATTCGAAAATATAATAATAATGTATTTTTATAACTGTATTAAAGGGGTCATATGATGCTGCTAAAAAGAACAGTATTTGGTGTAATGAAATGTGTTTATGCGGTTTAAGGTTAAAAAACACATTATTTTCCACATACTGTACATTATTGTTTCTCCTCTATGCCCCGCCTTTCTGAAATGCGTCGATTTTTACAAAGACGGAAATGTTACGCCCCTCACATACTGTAGTATTTCCTCAGCGACCAGCACAGATCAGCTCTAAGCATGATGAAGCGGATATAGTCCTCTTTTGGAAGACCAAACAAAGTAGTTTCACTTTCACAACGAAACACACAGCGTCTTCACGACATGGCGGCGGCGGCAACAATACTACAGCGAGAATAAAAGTTATGCCTTCTTTCTTTGTGTGAACATTTGGGCGGCGTTATGCAAATCTTCCCACATAGTGAGGTAGATATGTGGGGGCGTGTTAGAACGAGCCGTTTTAGGTAGGCGTGGCTGACTCTTAACTTTTATAAAGAATATCTCTTTGGATTTGAGACTTTAGTCTTTGCAACTTTACAGATCTTCTTTATACACCAAGAGCTTGTAACACTCCAAAGAGAAAGGAACAATTGAAATTGCATCATATGACCCCTTTAAAAGAGGAGTATTACAGCGAGAAAGAGAGGGAGAGAAAGAGGATGGCGGAGAGAGACACTGAAAAGAAAGCAATGACGGAGAAATAGTTTAAGGAGAAACATAAAAGGCAGATTTTTAAAATACATTGATTTTCAAAGGATTTTTATGAAACAACAACAACAAAAAGAAACAGATGCAAAGATAAACATTGATAATTTATTACAATAATTAATAGGCTAGTCCTTGCTGTTTTACATTGTGAATGAGATTTCTTAAATAGTGCAGCCAAGAAATGAATTCCATCATGTCCATCTTTTTTCTTTTTCTGGGGAACACAAAGGGAGTTGTATGAGATATCTTTATGGAACTTTTATAGTCCTTTTTGTCATTGCTAAATGTCTAAAACACACACGGGTTTGGAATTATATAAATGATTCAGAATTTTCATTTTTGAGTGGACAATACTTTCTGATCACACCATTTCTGGCCACTTACAATTGAATTAATAATGAAGAATATTAAGTTAATTTATAAACTTATATGATTGAGTAGAAATAATTGATTATTGTAAAAAATAGATAGCATATTGATGAAAACATTTTTACAGTGTATTCCTCTCTTTTTTGTATACATTCATGGTAATTCAGACATATACCTCTTAAATGTCAGAAAATAACAAATCAAAAATGATTTTAAAACAGATAGCAATACTGATGTGGCACTTTTAGGTTACTAAATCAGATACTGATGTGTAATAAATAAATAAAAAACTGTCTTTCTATAACTTAAAATCTGTTCTGCAATGTATTCTTCATCAAATCT